CCTGTAGACGAGGCAGCTACGGAAACATGCAAAGAACATTCAGCAGAACAAGAATAGCAAAATTGTGTCTTTCAAATAGGGAAAGAAAGCGAATTGTTTCCGCCCAGGTTTGAACTGGGACCTTGCGCGTGTAAAGCGCACGTGATAACCACTACACTACGGAAACACGCAAAGAACAGTCATCAGAACAAGAATTGCAAAATTGTGTCTTTAAAACAGGGAAAGAAAGCGAATTGTTTCCGCCCAGGTTTGAACTGGGGACCTTGCGCGTGTTAGGCGCACGTGATAACCGCTACACTACGGAAACTACATCGTTTCCAATCGCTTCAATGATGTAAAATTGATATATACATGAATAAAGCCAAAAACTATGTAAAGAGCCTGTAGACGAGGCAGCTACGGAAACATGCAAAGAACATTCAGCAGGACAAGAATGGCAAAATTGTGTCTTTCAAACACGGAAAGAAGGCGAATTGTTTCCGCCCAGGTTTGAACTGGGGACCTTGCGCGTGTGAAGCGCATGTGATAACCACTACACTACGAAAACTTACCCGTGGTTGAAAAATAATATTTCCCTTGTGACTTTCTATTGGCAAAATATCCAATCCTGGAAATTTTAGTAAAATAACTTTAAAATTCTTTAAGTTTCAGGAATTTCTACGAGTCATAACGGTTACAGGTTTAAAAAAATGTATCGAAAGAAACACAGCGCACATAGTTGTTTCTATAGATGGTCAAATTGTTTACCTTGCGCCTCTAAAGAGCACTTGATAACCGCTACACTAGAGAAATCGTATCGCACCTTAAAAGTGTTTAAACCAAAGCATTGGTTAATCCGGTACATTTGTTATCGGTTTATTTTCAGGAAGTAATTTCATTAGTCATCTTCAATTCTGAAATCTGCTGCATGTGCGGCAACTTGTGTTCCACAAATAATTATCGTGCAAAAAAACATTCAAAAGAACAAAAGTAGCAAATTTAGTGTTTAATAGAGTGAATGAAAGCGAAATGTTCCCGGATTGAACTGGGGAATAAAGCGAAAAACTATCAAGAGCCTGTAGAGGAGGCAGCTACGGAAACAAGCAAAGAACATTCATCAGGACAAGAATGGCAAAATTGTGTCTTTCAAACACGGAAAGAAGGCGAATTGTTTCCGCCCAGGTTTGAACTGGGGACCTTGCGTGTGTGAAGCGCATGTGATAACCACTACACTACGAAAACTTACCCGTGGTTGAAAAATAATATTTCCCTTGTTACTTTCTATTGGCAAAATATCCAATCCTGGAAATTTTAGTAAAATAACTTTAAAATTCTTTACGTTTTATGAATTTCTACGAGTCATAACGGTTACAGGTTTAAAAAAATGTATCGAAAGAAACACAGCGCACATAGTTGTTTCTGTAGATGGTCAAATTGTTTACCTTGCGCCTCTAAAGAGCACTTGATGACCGCTACACTAGAGAAATGGTATCGCACCTTAAAAGTGTTTAAACCAAAGCATTGGTTAATCCGGTACATTTGTTATCGGTTTATTTTTCAGGAAGTAATTTCATTAGTCATCTTCAAGTCTGAAATCTGCTAAATGTGCGGCAACTTGTGTTCCACAAATAATTATCGTGCAAAAAAACATTCAAAAGAACAAAAGTAGCAAATTTAGTGTTTAATAGAGTGAATGAAAGCGAAATGTTCCCGCCCAGGATTGAAATGGGGAATAAAGCGAAAAACTATCAAGAGCCTGTAGACGAGGCAGCTACGGAAACATGCAAAGAACATTCAGCAGAACAAGAATAGCAAAATTGTGTCTTTCAAATAGGGAAAGAAAGCGAATTGTTTCCGCCCAGGTTTGAACTGGGGACCTTGCGCGTGTAAAGCGCACGTGATAACCACTACACTACGGAAACACGCAAAGAACAGTCATCAGAACAAGAATTGCAAAATTGTGTCTTTAAAACAGGGAAAGAAAGCGAATTGTTTCCGCCCAGGTTTGAACTGGGGACCTTGCGCGTGTTAGGCGCACGTGATAACCGCTACACTACGGAAACTACATCGTTTCCAATCGCTTCAATGATGTAAAATTGATATATACATGAATAAAGCCAAAAACTATGTAAAGAGCCTGTAGACGAGGCAGCTACGGAAACATGCAAAGAACATTCAGCAGGACAAGAATGGCAAAATTGTTTCTTTCAAACACGGAAAGAAGGCGAATTGTTTCCGCCCAGGTTTGAACTGGGGACCTTGCGCGTGTGAAGCGCATGTGATAACCACTACACTACGAAAACTTACCCGTGGTTGAAAAATAATATTTCCCTTGTGACTTTCTATTGGCAAAATATCCAATCCTGGAAATTTTAGTAAAATAACTTTAAAATTCTTTAAGTTTCAGGAATTTCTACGAGTCATAACGGTTACAGGTTTAAAAAAATGTATCGAAAGAAACACAGCGCACATAGTTGTTTCTATAGATGGTCAAATTGTTTACCTTGCGCCTCTAAAGAGCACTTGATAACCGCTACACTAGAGAAATCGTATCGCACCTTAAAAGTGTTTAAACCAAAGCATTGGTTAATCCGGTACATTTGTTATCGGTTTAATTTTCAGGAAGTAATTTCATTAGTCATCTTCAAGTCTGAAATCTGCTGCATGTGCGGCAACTTGTGTTCCACAAATAATTATCGTGCAAAAAAACATTCAAAAGAACAAAAGTAGCAAATTTAGTGTTTAATAGAGTGAATGAAAGCGAAATGTTCCCGGATTGAACTGGGGAATAAAGCGAAAAACTATCAAGAGCCTGTAGAGGAGGCAGCTACGGAAACATGCAAAGAACATTCATCAGGACAAGAATGGCAAAATTGTGTCTTTCAAACACGGAAAGAAGGCGAATTGTTTCCGCCCAGGTTTGAACTGGGGACCTTGCGTGTGTGAAGCGCATGTGATAACCACTACACTACGAAAACTTACCCGTGGTTGAAAAATAATATTTCCCTTGTTACTTTCTATTGGCAAAATATCCAATCCTGGAAATTTAGTAAAATAACTTTAAAATTCTTTACGTTTTATGAATTTCTACGAGTCATAACGGTTACAGGTTTAAAAAAATGTATCGAAAGAAACACAGCGCACATAGTTGTTTCTGTAGATGGTCAAATTGTTTACCTTGTGCCTCTAAAGAGCACTTGATAACCGCTACACTAGAAAAATCGTATCGCACCTTAAAAGTGTTTAAACCAAAGCATTGGTTAATCCGGTACATTTGTTATCGGTTTATTTTTCAGGAAGTAATTTCATTAGTCATCTTCAAGTCTGAAATCTGCTGCATGTGCGGCAACTTGTGTTCCAGAAATAATTAATCGTGCAAAAAAACATTCAAAAGAACAAAAGTAGCAAATTTATTGTTTAATAGAGTGAATGAAAGCGAAATGTTCCCGCCCAGGATTGAACTTGGGAATAAAGCGAAAAACTATCAAGAGCCTGTAGACGAGGCAGCTACGGAAACATGCAAAGAACATTCAGCAGAACAAGAATGGCAATATTGTGTCTTTCAAACAGGGAAAGAAAGCGAATTGTTTCCGCCCAGGTTTGAACTGCGGACCTTGCGCGTGTAAAGCGCACGTGTTAACCACTACACTACGGAAACACGCAAAGAACAGTCATCAGAACAAGAATGGCAAAATTGTGTCTTTAAAACAGGGAAAGAAAGCGAATTGTTTCCGCCCAGGTTTGAAATGGGGACCTTGCGCGTATTATGCGCACGTGATAACCGCTACACTACGGAAACTACATCGTTTCCAATCGCTTCAATGATGTAAAACTGATATAAACATGAATAAAGCCAAAAACTATGTAAAGAGCCTATAGACGAGGCAGCTACGGAAACATGCAAAGAACATTCAGCAGGACAAGAATGGCAAAATTTTTTCTTTCAAACACGGAAAGAAGGCGAATTGTTTCCGCCCAGGTTTGAACTGGGGACCTTGCGCGTGTGAAGCGCATGTGATAACCACTACACTACGAAAACTTACCCGTGGTTGAAAAATAATATTTCCCTTGTGACTTTCTATTGGAAAAATATCCAATCCTGGAAATTTTAGTAAAATAACTTTAAAATTCTTTACGTTTCAAGAATTTCTACGAGTCATAACGGTTACAGGTTTAAAAAAATGTATCGAAAGAAACACAGCGCACATAGTTATTTCTGTAGATGGTCAAATTGTTTACCTTGCGCCTCTAAAGAGCACTTGATAACCGTTACACTAGAAAAATCGTATTGCACATTAAAAGTGTTAAACCAAAGCATTGGTTAATCCGGTACATTTGTTATCGGTTTATTTTTCAGGAAGTAATTTCATTAGTCATCTTCAAGTCTGAAATCTGCTGCATGTGCGGCAACTTGTGTTCCACAAATAATTATCGTGCAAAAAAACATTCAAAAGAACAAAAGTAGCAAATTTATTGTTTAATAGAGTGAATGAAAGCGAAATGTTCCCGCCCAGGATTGAACTTGGGAATAAAGCGAAAAACTATCAAGAGCCTGTAGACGAGGCAGCTACGGAAACATGCAAAGAACATTCAGCAGAACAAGAATGGCAATATTGTGTCTTTCAAACAGGGAAAGAAAGCGAATTGTTTCCGCCCAGGTTTGAACTGCGGACCTTGCGCGTGTAAAGCGCACGTGTTAACCACTACACTACGGAAACACGCAAAGAACAGTCATCAGAACAAGAATGGCAAAATTGTGTCTTTAAAACAGGGAAAGAAAGCGAATTGTTTCCGCCCAGGTTTGAAATGGGGACCTTGCGCGTATTATGCGCACGTGATAACCGCTACACTACGGAAACTACATCGTTTCCAATCGCTTCAATGATGTAAAACTGATATAACATGAATAAAGCCAAAAACTATGTAAAAGCCTAGACGAGGCAGCTACGGAAACATGCAAAGAACATTCAGCAGGACAAGAATGGCAAAATTGTTCTTTCAAACACGGAAAGAAGGCGAATTGTTTCCGCCCAGGTTTGAAACTGGGGACCTTGCGCGTGTGAAGCGCATGTGATAACCACTACACTACGAAAACTACCCGTGGTTGAAAAATAATATTTCCCTTGTGACTTTCTTGGAAAATATCCAATCCTGGAAATTTTAGTAAAATAACTTTAAAATTCTTTACGTTTCAAGAATTTCTACGAGTCATAACGGTTACAGGTTTAAAAAAATGTATCGAAAGAAACACAGCGCACATAGTTATTTTCTTAGATGGTCAAATTGTTTACCTTGCGCCTCTAAAGAGCACTTGATAACCGTACACTAGAAAAATCGTATTGCACATTAAAAGTGTTTAAACCAAAGCATTGGTTAATCCGGTACATTTGTTATCGGTTTATTTTTCAGGAAGTAATTTCATTAGTCATCTTCAAGTCTGAAATCTGCTGCATGTGCGGCAACTTGTGTTCCACAAATAATTATCGTGCAAAAAAACATTCAAAAGAACAAAAGTAGCAAATTTAGTGTTTAATAGAGTGAATGAAAGCGAAATGTTCCCCCCAGGATTGAACTGGGGAATAAAGCGAAAAACTATCAAGAGCCTGTAGACGAGGCAGCTACGGAAACATGCAAAGAACATTCAGCAGAACAAGAATGGCAAAATTGTGTCTTCAAAACAGGGAAAGAAAGCGAATTGTTTCCGCCCAGGTTTGAACTGGGGACCTTGCGCGTGTTAGGCGCACGTGATAACCGCTACACTACGGAAACTACATCGTTTCCAATCGCTTCAATGATGTAAAACTGATATACATGAATAAAGCCAAAAACTATGTAAAGCCTATAGACGAGGCAGCTACGGAAACATGCAAAGAACATTCAGCAGGACAAGGATGGCAAAATTGTGTCTTTCAAACACGGAAAGAAGGCGAATTGTTTCCGCCTAGGTTTGAACTGGGGACCTTGCGCGTGTGAAGCGCATGTGATAACCACTACACTACGAAAACTTACCCGTGGTTGAAAAATATATTTGCCTTGTGACTTTCTATTGGCAAAATATCCAATCCTGGAAATTTTAGTAAAATAACTTTAAAATTCTTTACGTTTCAGGAATTTCTACGAGTCATAACGGTTACAGGTTTAAAAAAATGTATCGAAAGAAACACAGCGCACATAGTTGTTTCTATTGATGGTCAAATTGTTTACCTTGCGCCTCTAAAGAGCACTTGATAACCGCTACACTAGAGAAATGGTATCGCACCTTAAAAGTGTTTAAACCAAAGCATTGGTTAATCCGGTACATTTGTTATCGGTTTATTTTTCAGGAAGTAATTTCATTAGTCATCTTCAAGTCTGAAATCTGCTAAATGTGCGGCAACTTGTGTTCCACAAATAATTATCGTGCAAAAAAACATTCAAAAGAACAAAAGTAGCAAATTTAGTGTTTAATAGAGTGAATGAAAGCGAAATGTTCCCGCCCAGGATTGAAATGGGGAATAAAGCGAAAAACTATCAAGAGCCTGTAGACGAGGCAGCTACGGAAACATGCAAAGAACATTCAGCAGAACAAGAATAGCAAAATTGTGTCTTTCAAATAGGGAAAGAAAGCGAATTGTTTCCGCCCAGGTTTGAACTGGGGACCTTGCGCGTGTAAAGCGCACGTGATAACCACTACACTACGGAAACACGCAAAGAACAGTCATCAGAACAAGAATTGCAAAATTGTGTCTTTAAAACAGGGAAAGAAAGCGAATTGTTTCCGCCCAGGTTTGAACTGGGGACCTTGCGCGTGTTAGGCGCACGTGATAACCGCTACACTACGGAAACTACATCGTTTCCAATCGCTTCAATGATGTAAAATTGATATATACATGAATAAAGCCAAAAACTATGTAAAGAGCCTGTAGACGAGGCAGCTACGGAAACATGCAAAGAACATTCAGCAGGACAAGAATGGCAAAATTGTTTCTTTCAAACACGGAAAGAAGGCGAATTGTTTCCGCCCAGGTTTGAACTGGGGACCTTGCGCGTGTGAAGCGCATGTGATAACCACTACACTACGAAAACTTACCCGTGGTTGAAAAATAATATTTCCCTTGTGACTTTCTATTGGCAAAATATCCAATCCTGGAAATTTTAGTAAAATAACTTTAAAATTCTTTAAGTTTCAGGAATTTCTACGAGTCATAACGGTTACAGGTTTAAAAAAATGTATCGAAAGAAACACAGCGCACATAGTTGTTTCTATAGATGGTCAAATTTTACCTTGCGCCTCTAAAGAGCACTTGATAACCGCTACACTAGAGAAATCGTATCGCACCTTAAAAGTGTTTAAACCAAAGCATTGGTTAATCCGGTACATTTGTTATCGGTTTTAATTTTCAGGAAGTAATTTCATTAGTCATCTTCAAGTCTGAAATCTGCTGCATGTGCGGCAACTTGTGTTCCACAAATAATTATCGTGCAAAAAAACATTCAAAAGAACAAAAGTAGCAAATTTAGTGTTTAATAGAGTGAATGAAAGCGAAATGTTCCCGGATTGAACTGGGGAATAAAGCGAAAAACTATCAAGAGCCTGTAGAGGAGGCAGCTACGGAAACATGCAAAGAACATTCATCAGGACAAGAATGGCAAAATTGTGTCTTTCAAACACGGAAAGAAGGCGAATTGTTTCCGCCCAGGTTTGAACTGGGGACCTTGCGTGTGTGAAGCGCATGTGATAACCACTACACTACGAAAACTTACCCGTGGTTGAAAAATAATATTTCCCTTGTTACTTTCTATTGGCAAAATATCCAATCCTGGAAATTTTAGTAAAATAACTTTAAAATTCTTTACGTTTTATGAATTTCTACGAGTCATAACGGTTACAGGTTTAAAAAAATGTATCGAAAGAAACACAGCGCACATAGTTGTTTCTGTAGATGGTCAAATTGTTTACCTTGTGCCTCTAAAGAGCACTTGATAACCGCTACACTAGAAAAATCGTATCGCACCTTAAAAGTGTTTAAACCAAAGCATTGGTTAATCCGGTACATTTGTTATCGGTTTATTTTTCAGGAAGTAATTTCATTAGTCATCTTCAAGTCTGAAATCTGCTGCATGTGCGGCAACTTGTGTTCCAGAAATAATTATCGTGCAAAAAAACATTCAAAAGAACAAAAGTAGCAAATTTATTGTTTAATAGAGTGAATGAAAGCGAAATGTTCCCGCCCAGGATTGAACTTGGGAATAAAGCGAAAAACTATCAAGAGCCTGTAGACGAGGCAGCTACGGAAACATGCAAAGAACATTCAGCAGAACAAGAATGGCAATATTGTGTCTTTCAAACAGGGAAAGAAAGCGAATTGTTTCCGCCCAGGTTTGAACTGCGGACCTTGCGCGTGTAAAGCGCACGTGTTAACCACTACACTACGGAAACACGCAAAGAACAGTCATCAGAACAAGAATGGCAAAATTGTGTCTTTAAAACAGGGAAAGAAAGCGAATTGTTTCCGCCCAGGTTTGAAATGGGGACCTTGCGCGTATTATGCGCACGTGATAACCGCTACACTACGGAAACTACATCGTTTCCAATCGCTTCAATGATGTAAAACTGATATAAACATGAATAAAGCCAAAAACTATGTAAAGAGCCTATAGACGAGGCAGCTACGGAAACATGCAAAGAACATTCAGCAGGACAAGAATGGCAAAATTGTTTCTTTCAAACACGGAAAGAAGGCGAATTGTTTCCGCCCAGGTTTGAACTGGGGACCTTGCGCGTGTGAAGCGCATGTGATAACCACTACACTACGAAAACTTACCCGTGGTTGAAAAATAATATTTCCCTTGTGACTTTCTATTGGAAAAATCCAATCCTGGAAATTTTAGTAAAATAACTTTAAAATTCTTTACGTTTCAAGAATTTCTACGAGTCATAACGGTTACAGGTTTAAAAAAATGTATCGAAAGAAACACAGCGCACATAGTTATTTTCTGTAGATGGTCAAATTGTTTACCTTGCGCCTCTAAAGAGCACTTGATAACCGTTACACTTGAAAAATCGTATTGCACATTAAAAGTGTTTAAACCAAAGCATTGGTTAATCCGGTACATTTGTTATCGGTTTATTTTTCAGGAAGTAATTTCATTAGTCATCTTCAAGTCTGAAATCTGCTGCATGTGCGGCAACTTGTGTTCCACAAATAATTATCGTGCAAAAAAACATTCAAAAGAACAAAAAGTAGCAAATTTATTGTTTAATAGAGTGAATGAAAGCGAAATGTTCCCGCCCAGGATTGAACTTGGGAATAAAGCGAAAAACTATCAAGAGCCTGTAGACGAGGCAGCTACGGAAACATGCAAAGAACATTCAGCAGAACAAGAATGGCAATATTGTGTCTTTCAAACAGGGAAAGAAAGCGAATTGTTTCCGCCCAGGTTTGAACTGCGGACCTTGCGCGTGTAAAGCGCACGTGTTAACCACTACACTACGGAAACACGCAAAGAACAGTCATCAGAACAAGAATGGCAAAATTGTGTCTTTAAAACAGGGAAAGAAAGCGAATTGTTTCCGCCCAGGTTTGAAATGGGGACCTTGCGCGTATTATGCGCACGTGATAACCGCTACACTACGGAAACTACATCGTTTCCAATCGCTTCAATGATGTAAAACTGATATAAACATGAATAAAGCCAAAAACTATGTAAAGAGCCTATAGACGAGGCAGCTACGGAAACATGCAAAGAACATTCAGCAGGACAAGAATGGCAAAATTGTTTCTTTCAAACACGGAAAGAAGGCGAATTGTTTCCGCCCAGGTTTGAACTGGGGACCTTGCGCGTGTGAAGCGCATGTGATAACCACTACACTACGAAAACTTACCCGTGGTTGAAATAATATTTCCCTTGTGACTTTCTATTGGAAAAATATCCAATCCTGGAAATTTTAGTAAAATAACTTTAAAATTCTTTACGTTTCAAGAATTTCTACGAGTCATAACGGTTACAGGTTTAAAAAAATGTATCGAAAGAAACACAGCGCACATAGTTATTTCTGTAGATGGTCAAATTGTTTACCTTGCGCCTCTAAAGAGCACTTGATAACCGTTACAC